ATGGCTTTGGTGGTTTCGATGCCCTTTGAAAACTTTGCCGTCTGATTTTCACTTAAACGACCTTGTTATACTTGATATGCAAGAAAGTAAAGTACGAAAACTTTGGAAGGGGACTAAGGTAAAATATATGCATTAGGCACTCAAAATTTTCCCTAACTAAATTTAATTTAGAGTTACATTTTTTCACATTTTTCTCTTATTTTCTCATTGCCTTGACAGATTCTTAACAAGCTGAAAATCCTCAATCTCAGCCATTCCGAGTACCTTGCTAAAACGCCGAACTTCCGAGGACTGTCTAGTTTGGAGAGACTAATACTTACAGGATGCACGAGTTTGGTTAAGGTACATCAATCTATTGGAAATTTGAAGAGCCTTGTTTTGTTGAACTTGGAGGAGTGTGACAGCCTAAAGACTCTGCCAGAAAGCATGGGTAACTTAAAATCTCTTCAAACTCTGAACGTTGCTTGGTGCTCACAACTTGAGAAATTGCCAGAGAGTTTGGGTGACATAGAATCCTTAACAGAGTTGTTTACAAAGGGTACTGCGATTAAGCAACTTCCTCCATCAGCTAGATATTTGAAGAAGCTGACAAAGTTATCATTTGGTGGATACAACTACTCACCTGATCTACCATCTAAATCTTGGTTTTCAAGATTTTCATCATGGCTTTCACCACAAAGCTGTTCGAGCTCCATAGATGTGCTACCAGCTTCTTTCAATAGTTTCAGCTCATTGAAAGAACTAAATCTAAGTTATTCTGGTTTGTCTGAAGCTACAAGTTCCATTGATCTTGGGAGTTTGTCCTTTCTTGAAAATTTGAATTTGTCTGGACAAGAATTCTTCAATCTGCCTTCTAGCATTAGCCACCTTTCTAAGCTTCAATTTTTGACGGTTGAGAGATGCAGGAATCTTCTATCAATCTCAGAGCTTCCATCAAGTGTACTGTTCTTGTCTATCTATGACTGCACATCCATTGAAAGAGTAACTGCACCACTTCAGCATGAAAGACTACCATTACTGAATGTAAAAGGGTGCCGAAATTTAATAGAGATTCAGGGCATGGAATGTGCGGGCAATAACTGGTCCATTTTGAACTTAAATGGCTGCAACAATTTATCTGAAAACTATAAGATGAGTCTTATTCAGGTTGTCTCTCTTTCTCTGTCTCTTCGCTTACTTGAACACAAACATTTAGCATGTAAATATGGTAATTTTTCGAACTCAAGTTTTAATTACTTTCCTTGAACCAATATGTAGGGATTATGCAAAGGTAAACATTATGACATTTGCCTAGCTGGTGGTGAGTTACCAGAATGGTTCGGCCATCGTGGAGAAGGATCTTCATTATCATTTCATTTTTCAGTTCCAGATGGTAATAAACTCCAAGGGCTGCTTCTTTGGGTTGTCTCGGCCTCCACCGATGAAGCCACTCGAGAAACACCATTTCTCCAGTTTGATATGTGTGTTGCTACTTTCAAAAATAAGAGCAATGGTATTGAATTGTTTGAGACGATGGCAGCAGTTACGTTTGACAGAACTATCAAGAAGCATTCTTGGATACAGCATATACCGTTGATTGGGTTAGAGGAATCACTGCAAGGTGTAGAGGAATTGGAACTGAATGTCAGAATAAGCTTATATGATGTTCGAAAATGTTGGGTAGAAAAATGTGGGGTACATTTGATAATGGAAAAGAATAAAGCAGATTCAGATCAGGAGATTGATATTCATGCTCTAGGTTCTGATGATCAGCTGTTGGAAAGTAGTTTGATAAGAGATTTGCAAAAATGGAAAATCACCAGTTGCACTAAATTTGGATAGCATACAACATAGAATATGCTTCTTCTTTTTTGTTTTTTTTTTCCATGTTTTTGGATCACAGGGTGCTGGATCTGTGGTATTGTTTTCTTGGCATTTCGGACTGATAAATGAGTGACACAAACTTGAAAAGTCTATTTCAATGAGGACAATGGAACTTTATATTTATTATCACCATTAATTTATTAATAATTCCTTTGCTTGCTTCGGATCGTGATTCAAGTCGTTCTCTTCCATGTAGACGAATGCAGGGAAAGCTAAACCTAGTCCACCATCACTATGAACCAAGTTGATAAAATTTCTATACATCATTGAAATTACTCACATTATTTTCTCATGGATAAGATACGTAAGATAAGCCAGATCATTCGACTGAAGAATCAGAAAGGGATCGTGACATTGCCAGTCAAGAAGGAACATGAGACATATCAGCAACAGCTTCTACTAATGAGCAGTGGAAGAGC